GATTTACCACCTTTGAACAAAACCAATTGTAAAGTAAATAGCTAATTTTTATCATCATCTTCAGCTTATTCAACCATTTCCAATTATGGTGTAGTCTCCAACACAGATAATCTCTTTTTAGTTAGTCCCATTGTTGTCTATTGTTGGCTATGCGGGCCCAAGATATATCTGCTAATTGCCAAATATCATGGTCCCATCTCAGGTTTGGTCTTCTTCTAGGTCTCTTAATTCCTCATGGGTACCATGCTGTAATTTTTGTGTTTATCTGTTGTCTGTCTTTCTTGCCAGGTGTCCTGCCCATTGCCACTTGTGGGATTTGATTTTGTGGATGACATCTATTACCTGGGACTTTTGTCATGGCACTATATCCTTTTACGGTCTTTGTTGGTTATTCCCAGCATATTTCATTCCATTGAGCGTTGTGCGACCTGCAATGTCCTTATAATGTCTGTTTTAAGTGTCCAGGTTTCGCATGCATAGATAGGTCATCACTAGTCACTCTGTTGATTTCTGGTAGTAGAGATCACGAACTTGTATTAGTTGTCCCAAGTATATGTATTCTTCTACTATTTCCTGTGCTTTCTTATTTATTAGAATATCTTTTCTGTCCACTAGTTCGTTATACATTAGTATCCATGTTTGTGTACTTATATATGTCAGCGTCCAAGTCTATTTGGATCAAATACATCCTAATTTTATAATTCTCTCTTTTAGGTAATGAGTTGTAAGTTGTAGTAGACATTGATCGAATCTTTTCTTCTTGAGGTAAAATATAAGTAATAAGTACTCTATTCTAAGGTAATAAGTACTCTATGGTAACTTAATTCATCTGTTGATTTCTGGTAGCAGAGATCTCGAGCTGCGTATTAGTTGTCTAAGTATATATATTCTTCTACTATTTCCAGTGTTGTGTTGTTTATTAGAATGTATTTTCTGTCTACTAGTTTGTTGTACAATTCCTTAAACTGTGATTATTTTAGTTTTCGCTAAAGTCATTTAGAGCCCTACTTTATTGCTGGCTATATTTAGTTCGCTAATTTGTGCTTGTAGTTCTTCAGGACTATTGGCAATTGGACTATGTCATCAGCTAATCTAAGATGGTTAAAGAACATAAACTATTTTCAGAAAAGTACAACAAATCCGCAAAATTTCAAACCTAATTCAAATGTGTCACTTACACACAAAACTGTCAAAGAAAGTAACGTTATTAGACTCGTTCCTTACTCTTCATATTCCAAGATACGTTTCAAACGAATTTATATCGATAGGTAATCGGTACACGACCATTAAGAGCAGATCTCGTCCGATCGTAAACTCGACATATACTTACTTGCCCCGACGATAATGACTTATGATTTTTCGAAACACGAACAAGTTAATCCACGTTCGGCAAGGCCTATTAAACGATCTGCTGGAAAATTAAGCGGTCCGACATCCCATTCATCCGGTTCGGTCTGATAGATAGAGGCAGGTCGGGTACGCGATACGGACTTACCGCCTTTTTTGAGATACCCACGCAGACGATGTAACGATGCATATTTACACATTGTCGATCGTTCATGATACTCTTTTCCGTTTTAAGTTATTAATATTTGACGGTGATGTAGTTTGTGAATCTGTTTTATGTTATTTATTGGTTGAAGATGAAATAAAAAATTATATTATATCTCAGTTAAAATGTAATTCAAACTAAAGCACACGTTGCAACAGCTATTTATTTTTTGTTCAATTAGTTCACTATAGTCTCACCTTACTCTAGAAGGATAAGCAAAATTAGGCAAAAAAAAAAAAGTACTCCTACTCTAGGTGCCTGCCCACATAGTGAGATCACCTCAGGGATAGAAGGTAATGAAAAAGCAAATGATCTAGCATGAAAAATAATGAACACGCCACTAACTGGACCAGAACCGTTGTGTTTTCCAAGCGGAAACTAAATTAAAGCGGAACTGAAGAACCTGGAAGACTTCATCCGTAACCTCTGGAATGGGAATCCTCCAAACGGTCTGAGACACTCGAAAAACTTCCTCGGAAATTACGACCTAGAAAAATCAAAGATACTCCTTGATTTAAATAATTCGGATTTCATCTTCGGATTGTCACGGCGCGGCGTTTCTAACAGGACACTGCCTCCTCAACGAACATCTCAGTAGATTGAAGCTGAGAAACAACAGCGAATGCAGATTATATGGGGAAAATTGGGAAACACCAGAACACCTTATCACTGAGTTCGCCAAGATGACAATCGTTCGTGCTCTAAGCTTTGGTACGGCTGATGTCGAAGACTGAGAGCTGACCTTTGTGAAACCCTCTCAGTTATTGGCTTGTGTCAAAGCCCTGAGACTGTATGATGAGTTATAACTCTTTATAACTGAAGAAAGGGGGTACACACAATAGATCTGTAGGGTCGCGGTGATTAATCTTCCTCCTAAACATTTTACATTCTATTCTAGAAGAAAATAGTACAGGACGATAAGTTAATAAATATCAATATCTGAGTGTTACAACCTAAGCTACTAAGATTAGACAAGAAAAATAAATTAAAATAAGAACCGGCTACGAAGAGATTTATGAGTTATGCAACAATGCTTACTAATAAGAATATAAATATTTCGACAAGAATAAGATTTCTGTAATGTTACGTCTGCTCTGTATGGCTGTATGTGATGGAGACTTGGACACTGAAAGCTCAAACAATGAAGAGAATCAAGGCTTTCGAAATGAGGCTGTACCGACGAATTTTACCTAGTGTTACCTATGGGACAGTATTCGGGAAGCAAAACCTTCACTAGCCATACCCTTTATAGACTTTGAGAAGGCTTTCGACTCGATATATCCTAAGGCAGGAATAGAAGCCCTAGCGAAACACGGTATTGACAAACCTTATATAGAAACTTACGCCGATATATACAAGAAGAAGCCAAAGCCAAGAGTGACTGATATATAAAACAACCCCAGAGTTCCAAACAGGCAAAGGAGTACGACAGGTAGACCCAATATCTCCAAAGCTGTCTATAGCAATATTAGAAGAAATCTTCCGCCAACTAGACTGGACCAA